CAAAACATTGAGGACCTACCTCTAAACACTGTGGCACATAACTCATTACATCTTGCCAACCACAAAATGACCTACATATGAACATGATATTTCCTGTTAGCTAGCTAACCTTCTACCTGAGCCAATACGTTACCCATTCCACAATCAGCATTTATGTTGTTCAATAATCTCTGATGTAATACCTTATCAAATGCCATCTGGAAATCTAAGTACAGCATATCAACTGGTTTCCTTTTATCCATAGGACATGTTATCTTCTCAAAGAACTCCAGTAACTTGGTTAAACTTTTTTCTTCCATAAAACCATATTGATTCTGCCTGATCACCATGACTTTTCAAAGTTAATGTTTAGAGTCTGATATGACTCTTTCAGAACTCCAGAGCAGTTTCACTTTGTTTCTCACTCCACAGATATTACCAGGTTTGCTGAAGATCTCCAGCACTATCTCTTTTTATTTCTGAATATTTCCATCCACTGGACGTTGGATTTATTTGAGCTTTTGACTGAAGGTAATCTGCTTTCTGATTGAGCCAAGTGTATTGAAGAAAAGGTAAGATGAAGACCCCTTAAGCAGGGGGCCAATCAGCATTTAAAGGAGCAGGTGAGAGAAGGACCTGAGGTAGATAGTCAGCAACACCTAAAGGAGCAGGCGAGAGAAGGATATGTTAGCCATACAGGCAGAGGGTAATTGGAGAGAGCTTGCAGAAATCCCCCGAGTTACTCTCACTCATTACTGTGTTTTTTTTTCATTTTGGATATTGCTGAGGGCAATGGTTCATCAGAAGAATATAGTAAGATCTATGTTTATGGCAATGCAAGTGGCTCAGAAGCACAGATCAGAAAAAAGAGGGGAGAAGAGTGAAAGGGCATAGCAATAGCCATATGATTATAGGGAAACAGGCAGGTGTTTCCGTGGTCACAGAGATATTGTCTCCCTGGTGCCAGGGACATGGATGTCACAAAACAGCTGTAGGAAATTCATTTGGGGGAAGGTGAAGAGCAAGAAATTTGTGGTCTACATTGAAACCAATGACATAAGTAGAAAGAGGGATGGGGTCTTAAAAGTAGAATTCAGTGAGCTAGCCAATAGACTGAAAACCAGCACCTCTAGAAGCAGTATTCTCAGATTACAGAGGTTAGAGTCTGTTTTGGTGAATAAAGAAACAGCAACGGGCAGCAAACATTGATGAGATAACAAGATGTAGAGCTGGATGAACACAGCAGGCCAAGCAGCATCAGAGGAGCAGGAAACTTGACGTTTCGGGCCTAGACCCTTCTTCAGATTGATGAGAGTGGTTTACGGGCATTAAACACTGGTGGTGATAGAGAACGTGGTATAAGTCAGGAAATTAGAATCCTGGAATATTTTCCAATAGTTTACTGAAGCAATATGTAGAGAGACCAACTAAGGCACAGACTATTTAGATTTGCAATGCAATGACAAAGGGCTAATTCATAATCCTGTTGTAAAAGAATGTTTAGGAAATAGTAACCACAGTGTAATAGCGTTTTGCATTAGATTTGATAAAGATGTAGTTTCAGTTTAAAACAACACTCTTAAATCTAAATGAGGGCAATTATGAAGGTGTGAGGAAGAAGTTGTTTTGGACAAAATGTATTAAAAAGTTTGTGGTAAATAAGCAATGAGTAGTATTTAAAGAATTAAAGCTTGGTTGAGAAACCTAGAAAATAGGAGCAGGAGTTGGCCATTTAGTCCTTTGAACCTGCTCCACCATTCAATATGGTCAAGGAAGATCATTTAACTCAGTTTCCTGTTTTTGTTTTCTCCGTACTCCCTTTGATGCTTTTCACCCTAACTCCTTCCTGAAAACATTAAATGTTTTGGCTTCAGCTGCTTTTGGTGGCAGAGAATTCCTCAGGCTTACCACTCTCTGGGTGAAGAAATTTCTCTTCATGTCAGTCCTAAATAGCCTACCATGTATCCTTAGACTGGGACCCCTGGTTCTACACACCCAGTCTTCAGAATAGTTCTTCCCGCATTTATCCGGTCTAGTCCTTTTAGAATTTTATATACTTCTATGAAATTCTCTGTCATACTTCTAAACACCAGCTAATATAGTCCTAACAGATTCAGCCTCTCTTCATACATCGGTCCTGTCTTCCCAGGAATCAGTCTGGTAAACCTTCATTGCAAATTCAGAACATCCTTCTTCAAAAAAGGAGACCAAAACTGCACCCAGTACTCCAGGTATAGTCTTGCCATGGCCTTGTACAATTGCAGCAAGACATTCCTGGTCCTGAACTTGAATCCATTTGCTATGAGGCCAAAATACCATTCGCTATCTTTACCACCTGCTGCATCTGCACGGTTACTTTCAGCAACTGGTGTACACTGACACAGATGGTCAATTAGCTCAGTTCGCTGGAAAATTGGTTTGCAATGCCGAGTGACACCAACAGCATGGGCTGAATTCCTGCACAGCTAACATTATCATGAGGGATCCTCCTTCTCAACATCTCCCCTTGCCTGAGGCATGATAACCCTCAGATTAAACCACCACCAGTCATCTCTCTCTAATGAGCAAACAGCCCTATAGTCTGGTAAGACTATGGCAATTTTACCCTTTACAAGGACATCCAGGTCCCTTTGCATCTTGGCTTTTTCCAATCTATCACCATTCAGATAATCTGCCTTCCTGATTTTGCTACCAATGTTCACTTGTTCACTCAACTCATTACTTCTTTCTCTCTCCTCTGAGTTCATGGCCTCTTAACCTGCTTTACTCTCTCCATCCATGTAAACTTCCCAACTTGTTGCATAACCACTCCATGGTTCCTTGGAGGTTCTGCATACGCCGATCGGCATGCCAATACATTGACTTCCAGTCATAGAAGTTGATACTGCGCACGAACCTCAGATGTCTATGTGTCGGAAACAAGGAACATTAGAGAGAGTGCTGGTAGTTGTTGTCTATCAAACACCTGAAATTCCTTACCTGAATTACTGAAGCAGGGAGGAAAAACAATGGAGTGATGAGATCTCTCTATCTGAAAGGGGCTTGTTCAAAGTCAAAGTAACAAAAATGTAAGTTGCTGGAAAAGCTCAGCAGATCTGGCAGCATCTGTGAAGAAAAATCAGAGATAACATTTCGGGTCTGGTGACCCTCCTTAGAACAGTCAGAGTAATTCAATTGGTCAGAATGAGGTAGAGACAGGGTGACTATCTGGGAATTTGAGTCAAAGTGGGAATTCAACTGGTAAATATTTTGCAAGTTTCATCATAAAGTCAGATTCAGACCTAGCAATAGTAATCTTTAAGGAAGTTAAACAGGCTGCTGCCTGGTAGTGACAGTGATCAATTAAGTATCAGGAATTTCTTGACTGTCGCAGGAGGTTAAGAAAAACAAGTGACTCATCAGGGTCAACAAGGTGCAGGGCTGGATGAACACAGCAGGCCAACATCAGGGTCTTCTGTATAAGAATGGATTGTTCAAAGCACATGACCAGGGCAAGCCACTTGGTCAGAATAAGGAAGACTTTGTTGAAGTGAGACAGACAGAGTGAGTACTTTAACTAGGAATTTGGGTCAATCTAGGAATTCAGGGCAGTGGGGGGGATAGAGGCGCTTTGATTAAGATTTACAGTAAGAAATAAAGTCTCCAGAATGAGAGGTGAGCGGGAAAGGAAGAAAGGTGCCAATTGAGAGGTCTACCTGCACTGAGTCCAGAGGCGACATGATATCATGAGAGCAGGGAAAGCTGCTGATTGGTGAACAGGATTGATCAGTATTTTTAATCTTTAAACTGAAAGTTCGGTATTTGTGTTTCAGTTTCCGAACATTTTGTTTCTTTTTCTGAGAAATAGCTTTCTAGGCTTGTGTCTTCAGTTCATACTTATTCTAAAGGTAACAAATAGTTTTTAGCATTACAGGGTTACAGGTCAGCGGAGCCAAATGGAGTTTACATTCTGTGATGTATGTACAGTCATGGACATACCATATATCTCAGAAAAATACATCCGGACACTTAAATTGCGAGACATAGCAGTAATTATGAGCATTTGGAGGTTTTTAGAATACAAGAAGGGAGGACAAAAACTACTAAGGAAAGGGAAAATAGACTATGAATGCAATCTAGCAGAAAACATAAAAATGAACTGCAAAGGCTTCTATAAGTACATAAAAGGGAAAAGTTTGGCTTAAATGAATGTGGGTCCACTACAGGCAGAGTCAGGGAGAACTTGAAATGGACAATAGAGTAATGGCAGAGAAGCTAAATGATTTAAGTCTGTTTACACTGAGGAAGATAAAAGAAATCCCCAAAACTAGAAATCCAAGCGTCTATGGAGAATGAGGTGTTCAAGGAAATTAGCGTTCATAAGAAGATTGTACTGGAGAAATTAATGAGGCTAAAAAGTATTAAGTTCCTAGGACCTCGCAGTCTATGTCTCCGATTATCAAAGAAAGTGGCTATAAGGATAATCAATGCAATGTAAAATTTTGTAAAATGCTTTAGATTCCAGAATAATTCTTGCAGATTAGAGGTAGCAATTGTCATACCACTATTTAAGAAGGGAGATTGAAAACAAAATTATAGACATGTCAGCTTTACGCCAGTCTCATTAAGGGATAAGATATTAGACACTTGTGTGATAATGATTGATTGGGTAAGTCATCATAAATTTGAAAGGGAGAAATCGTGTTTGGATGAACTTGTTGGAGTTGTTTGAAAATGTTATGAACAAAATGATGAAGGAGATATGGTGTATGTGGATTTTCAGAAATGCTTTTGATAAAGTTAGTTTATTCAGCCAATGCAGACACAATGGTCTGAAGAATTCTCTTTCTGTGATATTAAGTTTCATGTTTCTATAGTTGAACCCACAACTTTTTGGCTCAGACAGAAGAGAACTGCCACTGAGTCAAAACTAACATGTTGGAAATTGGAGATGTAGCTAAGCATCTATAACATTTTATTTGTATTTCCAACCATGGAGTCTATATTGGGACTTTGATCGAGCAATCCAAATCCAACTGCTCTGTTTTCTTCTTACAGTGCTGTACCTTCCTCTGTTAATATTTATCTACTCTTCCCTTCAATTGTGTCATTACCTCTCATTCAGCTGGCACCCTGGTCAAGTAATTCCAATTCTTTGCATCAAGAAATGTCTCCTGGTTTCTTTACTTGCACTCTTAATGATAATTGATGATGTCTTGTTTGGCCTCTCTCACAGAAAAAAAAGATATTCTCCACTCATCCTATCAAAATGATAGCTGATTTTTAAAAGTCTTTATTAAACCTACTCTTGACCTTCTATGCTCTAATAAAAAATGTCTTGAGTATCTCAATGCTTCAGTTAGGTTGTGAACTTGTGTAACCACAAGAACTGCACATTCCTGCCATGGAACACTGTGGGATATGGACAGTCTAATGACGGACTCTTGCATAAGGTTGCCTCTGTTCTTTCATTTCTGTTGCACGCATTTGTAGGATGGTACAGTTCTGTTAGCTAATGGCAACCTGTATCCTTTCCTCTCTGCTACTCCAGTGAAAAGGTGTTGTTGCATAAGAGTAATGCAGGATTAATGTTAAAATTAATACCAATCTGATGATAGCAGGAACAGTGTGAAATTCTTGTACAATCTTAGAATGGCCATTTGAGGGTGACTTCATGCATGTGGTTAAAGTGATTCAATAGAATCGATATAACTATTTCCTCTGGTGGGGTAACCTTAAAATTAATCCTGGACCGTTTTGAAATAAAACTGGTACTCTTACTTTTTTCACACAAGGTTCAGTGTATGTCTGAAGTTCTCTGCCTCTAAGGCTCTGGATACTGGATTAATTATATTTTCAAGATTGAGATAGCCAGAGTTTTGTTAGACATGCTGGCGAGAAATATGAATCAACACCACTTGAATGGAGTTGAGTTAGAGGCCATGATATGGAGGTGCCAGTGTCGACTGGAGTGGACAAAGCCAGAAATCACATGACACCAGGTTATAGTCCGACAGGTTTATTTGAAATCACAGGCTTTCAGAGCATAGCCCCTTTGTCAGGTGAAGTGAGAGAGATAAGCACACGGATACATAATTTATAGGCAGAGAGATCAAGGGCAGAGAGACCAAAAGACCATACAAATAGTGTAAGTGGAGTGTCAAATAATAATAAGACTCTGGAATGTGATCAAAAGTCTTAGATGGTGTGAGTAAAGTGTCAAAAACTGAATAATTATTCGACATTCCACTCATACCATTTGTATGATCCTTTGATCTCTCTGCCCTTGATCTCTCTGCATATAAGTTATGTGTCTGCGTACTTCTCTCTAATATCACCTGATGAAGGAACAGCATTCAGAAAGCTTGTGATTTCACGTAAATTTGTTGGACTATAACCTGGTGTCATGTGACTTCTGAGCTAGAGGTCAGCCATTGAACCGACTGGAAAAGTGAAATAGGCTTGAGGGCTAAAGATTATATTCATATTCCTATGTTTTCTAATCAAAACATAGAACTAAGTTAAGGAATTGGCTAAGAGGAGAAGCAAAATGTTGAAATGAGCAAGAAACAGAAATTGCTTGAGAAACTTTGGGCGGCACGGTGGCACAGTGGTTAGCACTGCTGCCTCACAGCAACAGGGACCCGGGTTTGATTCCAGCCTTGGGCGACTGTCTGTGTGGAGTTTGCACATTCTCCCTGTGTCTGCGTGGGTTTCCTCCGGGTGGTCCGGTTTCCTCCCACAGTCCAAAGATGTGCAGGCTAGGTGGATTGTCCATGCTAAATTGCCCGTAGTGTTCAGGGAGGTGTAGATTAGGTGGGTTATAGGGGGACGGGTCTGGGTGGGATGCTCTGAGGTTCGGTGTGGACTTGTTGGGCCGAAGGCCCTGTTCCCACACTGTAGGGATTCTATGATAACTTAGTGGATTTGGCAGCATCTGTGGAGAGAAAACAGAGTTAATATTTCGAGTCCAGTGACCCTTCGTCAGAACTGTATCAGGGTTGACCTGGGAAGCTATGTCAAATGGAATGCTTCAGGCCTCTGTCCTTACTCTAATAAAAGCAAAAATACTGGAAATCTGAAATAAAAAAAACACTGAAGATTAAGACCAGGAGCAAAAGAAACTCAACAGGTCTGGCAGCATCTGTGGAGAGAGAAATAGTGTTAAAATTTCAAATCCAGTATGACTGGAACTGAAAAGAGATGGAAAATGACGTAGTGCCAATGCTGTATACAGATCTAGCACTTACATCTTCTTTACATATCTATCTCTCCTTTGCCTCTATTATCACAATCTTCGCTTTTTTCTCTGGGCATCTTCACAATCTGATCCATTTGCTCTTCCTTCCCCCGTGCCTACAACATTAGAACCACCATTTTCTACTGTTGCAGGTCAGGTGCTGTCTGAGTTGTGGGAGCAGTGAGGCGTATAGTAATACAATGACTGGGATTTGCATACCTTCAATAGAATAAAGCTGAATCCTGGTTTGAATCCTGCCATTGTAGATGATGGAATTTAAATGATTAAAAAAATCTAGAAGTAAAAATCTAACAATGACCATGAAACCATTGTCAGTGGTTGAAAATGCCCATTAGTTCATGAATGTTCTTTAGTAGAAGAAATCTGCTTCCTTATCTGATCTGGCTGTCATGTGACTCCAAACTCAGAGCAATGTGGTTTGCTCTTAACAGCTTTCTGAAATAACTTGCAAATCAGTAGCATTTAACCAATATAAAATCTCAAAAAAGGAATGAAATCCAACACCTGGAATCAACTTACGCAGTGGAAACAACGAGAACAAATTCAGAGTTGCTGGAAAAGCTCAGCAGGTCTGGCAGCATCTGTGAAGGAGAAAACAGAGTTAACGTTTCG